CAGATGAGAGAGAAGTGATTAGGGTATTTAAAAAAGAAAACACGATTTTAAACTTTAACCAACATAGGAGAAAAATAACAAACACAATTGTTTGCATTTGGAACGAGACAAACTCAACTTAGACATCAGACCTTATTTTCACGAACCTTTCATTTTCTTTGTATAAACCTTTCTTCTGAAGGATGGACTGGTCAAATTTTGGACCTCTTCCTTGTTCTGACAGAATCAGCCATCTGTAGAGTGTTTTCTGTTCTTCATGAGGAACCTCCACAAGCTTCCAGAGAATCAGAGTGTGAAAACCAGAGTTATAGTGGATTGAATGTTCAGTTGGAAACTGTCAAAGTTACCATTAAATGCAGGGTCTAAAATCACTTAAGGAAATCAGCCCTGAGTGCTCACTAGAAGGACAGATCCTGAAGCTGAGTCTCCAATACTTTGATCACCTCATGAGAAGAGAAGACTCCCTGGAAAAGACCCTGATGTTGGGAAAGATTGAGGGCACAAGGAGAAGGGGACAACAGAGGACGAGATGGTTGGACAGTGTTCTTGAAGCTACAAACATGAGTCTGACCAAACTGCGGGAGGCAGTGGAAGACAGGAGTGCCTGGCGTGCTCTGGTCCATGGGGTCACGAAGAGTCGGACACGACTAAACGACTAAACAACAGCAACAAAATCACCTGGCTTCACCACTGCCTGCAGCTCACTGTTGTATATGCACTGCCAGCCAACAGCTTTGCAGCGTTTGGGGCAGGAATCTTTTTGAACCCTACCTGAAGCTGCCCTGGATTGAACCTTGGACTTTCTGCATCCAAAGCATTGTTCGAAGTTCCCCAGGTGCCAGGAATCTTTGCAACTGGCATGGGTCCATTTGCTACCACATGGAGATCTCTGGATGCCAGGTTGGCGTCTGACATCTCCATCTGGCAGGGCCCTCCAGTTGTCTGAAGCAGGTAAGCAGAAGAGCTTATATACTGCATTTGTCTCCCACCTTTTTCTCCAGAGAATACAGTGGTATCTCGGTTTTCGAACGTAATCCGTTCCAGAAGACTGTTCGAGTTCCGAAACGTTCGAAAACCTAGGCGCAAAGGGCAGTCTGCAAATTCAGTAGAGAAAATTGGGGGGGGGGACTCAGCGGAAGCCGTTCGACTTCTGCGGCACGTTCAAAAACTGAAGCATTTACTTCTGGGTTTTCTGCATTCGAAAACCAAAACATTCAACTTCGGGAACATTCGAAATTTGAACCCGGATCTCCCAGGACCTAGTCCAACACTCTGACCACTACACCACAATTGCTTCCTAGAGTACTGCTGCTATGGGGCAGCTATTTAAATAAAGTAGGTAAATAAATATAGGGAAAGGAAACCGTCACTTAGAGAAGGATCCTTGAAGCTTGAATTTGTTTTATTTGATGTTTTAATGTGCTGTAAAGCACTTTGAGATTTTTCTAAAAAAATATAAAGTGGTATTGAAATGAAATAATGATGATGTTAATTTCATTTTTAAATAAAATGGCGCCTAGACATTCTGTTGTGGCAACCGTAATCTAGGTTTAGGGTGTCACTTGGCAATTCGCTTATATATTGATGAGTTTTTGACCCTGATCCAAAGCATATATTCTACACTGAGCTATAGCCCTTCCCATTATGTCACTGTCTCTCAATCACAAGGCTTAAAATTGGAATGCAGACAGAGAAGGAATATGGTTCTGGTTCTGGAAATTGGGATGGATATGCTTTTTTGCTATACTGAGATGGGAGATAGTCTCCCCAACTTACGACTGTCTTTCATATTTTTATTATAACTGGTAATCAGATGATGACTTACTGGTCTGTGTTAGAAAATAATTTTAAATAAAGACAGCTGTTATGCAGATTGATCCAAGAACCTTGAAAGACTTTGTTATGGCTTCCTAAAAAGAATTCTTAAAACAGGACTTTGATTTAATAGGCCCCATTTCTTCCTCTCCAGTCTTTTGATGGTTATAAAATAAAATGTCATCTACTTGGCATGATGGTCAGAGGGAAAAAATATGAGTTTCCACACGTACTTCAAACCAAAAGCTATTCCTCCTATTCTTGGTTTATATGAGTTAAATTCTGGCAGACATTTTAAATGTCTAATTGTTATCCCTATTAGGTATTGGCTCCATGCAGAAAAAAATACTTTGCTATGGATTGAGCATGAATTTTATTATGGTAATGGTGAGAAATTAAGATTATTTGGCTGACAAATCATTGGAGATCTTATCTGTTCTATTTAATGCACTTACTGATTATGCAGTTAAAAGACAATGTATAGCACTGTATGTTTGCCGGTTGCTAAACGGATCAAACCAGATAAATGAATAATACACATTTAACCTATTAACGAGTTTTCTGTTTACTTAAGAAGTTACAGCCAATCAAAAATGGGATTTGTTCACAACTGAGGCCATGGCTTGCAGGAAGTGTTCTTAACTCTGAATCCTGTGTCCTAGTGAAAATTGTTGCTCTACTTGCTCCCCCAAAGTCTATCATTTTCCTTGAAAGGGAAACTACCATTTCTCCCAATAGCTGCTTCTGTCCTAGGGCAGGGATGGGGGAAGGCAATGGTTAACCTCTTCCTAGAATGGGATATGAATATTTTTGGATGGTTAGACATTGAGGTGGCAGGAGGCTGTCAGGGATTCCCAGTCCTTATGGGAAGTCCCATTATTCTCTCAACTTTAAGATAAGAATATGGTATGGTAAATGCATGAATATTTTATATGGGGATTGTTCATGTCGTGTAAACACAATTGTTAGGGTTTAAATTGCTAGAAACTCATTACTTGATGCTTGGTAAGATCTTTTATAGGTGACCTTTACTGCTTATTATGAAAATTTCTACATGCATGTCCATATTTCATAAAACCTCAAAATGTTTAAAGGAAAGTTTCCCTTTCTTTTATGCACAAATCTGTATTGCTTCAGAATACACCTATATTCCACATTAGGCTGACCATAGTACTCATGCTGAGATTCTAAATAGTGATCAGATAATCACAGTAGGACTAATTGAAATTAAATTAATAGTACGGATGATAAATACACTATTTTGAGGGATGCAAAATGCCCTTCCTCATACTGACATGTGAATGCATAACCAAAAGAATAGCAGTCTTCAGATATTTTCTGAATGTGGAAGGAGTAGAGACAGAGTTTTCTACTACTGGCTTCCCCATTCACTTTCAGCATAATGTCTGAAAGAGCCTGTGTGCCTATGTGTGAGTATAAGCTCTTTCTGACATTACAATTCTCATTGGCTGCTAGTCCTTTGGATCGCTGCAACCCTGGCTCGATGGAGCAGTGTTGTCATGTGTGTCATAGCATTTAATTTGAAGAATTAGTACTCACAGTCATTGGCACCAATGGCTTAAGCTTCCAGAATCAGGTTAAGAAAAGGGAGAGAAAAGGTGAAGGTGACCAAAAGTGTGCTGTGTAGACAGATTCCATGCAGATTCCAGTACATGATCTGAAATGCTGACTCTTCTAACTATCTCCCTTCTCCATGTAATGTGAACACATTACCGTATTTTTTGCTCTATAAGACTCACTTTTTCCCTCCTAAAAAGTAAGGGGAAATGTGTGTGTTATGGAGCGAATGCAGGTTGCGCAGCTATCCCAGAAGCCAGAACAGCAAGAGGGATTGCTGCTTTCACTGTGCAGCAATCCCTCTTGCTGTTCTGGCTTCTGAGATTCAGAATATATTTTTTTTCTTGTTTTCCTCCTCCCAAAACTAGGTGTGTCTTGTGGTCTGGTGCGTCTTATAGAGTGAAAAATACAGTACATTAGAGTGATAAAAGTATCCACGTGGCAATGTAGAGAACAGGTTCAGGGGTCTTCAAGCATATTGGCCACGTTTACATGTAATGCTAAGCCAAACCATGGCTTGTCGCAAGCATGCTGGTTCAGGCTGAAGGCCTTCTTTGGTTCAGTATCTTGTTCTCACAGTGACCAGTCAGAAATCTGATTGTGACAGCACTCTCCCAACTTTCGACGTCTAGCAACCTGGCAAATTGCATCCAATTTGCCCCTCCTCTGCCCTTTTAGTTTAGCACAGCACAGCAGCTAAGCCAAGGTTCGCTATCCAAAATCCTTTCTCAAGTTAATTTTAAAAATTCAGTAGTTTCTGGTCTAGAATTGGGTTCTAATATTGGTGCCCTGACTTTATCTAATCCAAGGATCTCCTAATAGAACAAATCCTGGCAGTAGGCACATTTGGTTACAGTAGCAATGGCCTCTCATTATTATGCTTCTCTGCTGGCCTTGGTTTTGCTAGGTTATGTTTTCATGAGCATTTTGAGATACTTCTTGTCACCTGCCCTGAGATCTGACCCAGTGACCTGAAAATCAAGAAAATGTCATGTTAGTGGCTACTAATTAGTGGAACTAGAGAGCATCTTCAGCTGGCCTTTCAACCTTCTTCAGGAGGAAGCAAAAGCTGTCATACACATCATGCAAAGAAAATGAGCCCAAACCATTTTTTTTTAATGGTGTAAACACGCCCAGCTGAGACTAGAGATGAATATGTAGGTTAGGTGGAAATTAACCTGCAGTATAGTCTTTGCATTTATATTTTATGTGTTCCACAAGACATGCTACCACTATCACTGAATTGTATGTGTGTAAGGTTGTTGATGTACTATATAGCACATCACTGAAAGACCCAGATATTCTTGAGTTGTTTTGCTTTATATATATATATCTAAAAAAGCGCTTCTACTAGGTTGATTGTATAGTGGAAGTTTTTTAAGCCTCACAAATCTTAATTGTCCTTGGATGTATTTGTGGAGCCCACTGGTTAGCAGGGGATTTAACCAGCACACTCATTAATCAGTGGCTACACCTCAGTATCTCCTGAGTGTCTTGTGTTTGGGGGGAGGGAACAGATCAGCTTCAGTAATTCTTTCCTTTAAACCCATCACAAAGCAAACAGGGTTTTGAACAGGTAAAGTAATCTCTTGCATTGGTTTTTACAGGTCTTTAAGATAGAGGTACTAATGAATGGAAGAAAGCACTTTGTTGAAAAGCGGTATAGTGAATTTCATGCTCTTCATAAAAAGGTAAATATTGTACGTAAGTTGTTAAAGTGATTCTGCTTGAACCTTCCCTCCACTTGTTCCAAAGCGATTTCTCTGTTTTTCTGAATCTTTTGTGTTTCATTTATTTTGTCTTTCTAGCCCTGTGAGGAAAGGATACAATATTTAGGGCTCTTTAGGGGGAAAGGCAAGTAAAGATAAAGGGGCATATAATTGCACATGATGTGGTGGAGAAAGTTAGAGATGTTTTTCTTCTTTTGCATAATACTAGAATCCCAGGGTTATCCGGGGAAGCTGAATTTTGGAAAATTTGAGACAAGCGAAAGATAGAATTCACTCCCACAACATGTAGTAATGGCCACCAGTTTGAATGGCTTAAAAATAGGATTAGAAGAATGGCGGATAATGGCTACAAGTCATGATGGCTTTGTCCTATGTCCTCTGCTTTATCTTACCTCCTCTGTTCGAAGCAGATAGGAGGATGGGCTGTTTTAAAGCCCTTTGTACACATTCACAGAGCAGGGCTGGCCCTCTCCTCCCAGTTTCTCTTTTAAACCTCAGCAGTTTGAAGGAGAAGTGGGAAAGGTGATGTGCTCTGATCTGCCCATCAGAGAATGATGGAGAATGGGAGTATGCCTTTGAAGGCCCTACCTTCAAGAGGACTGAAGGTTCACTGTGCTCCATCCATCAGCTGATGGAGGATAGGCAGAGAGTAGCATGCTTTGCTGGATCCATCGAACAACTGGGGAGCTTTAAGCTCCCAATTGCTCAATTGAAATCCTCCTCTCACCCATGTGGCTTGCTAAAAATGGTCTGCCAGGCCAAATGAGGAGACCTAGAGGGCTACATTTAGTCTGGAGGCTCCTCACCCCTGTATCTGTGATGCACTTTTTTTAAAAAGTGTGCTCAACTCACATAGCATTTTATCAGGAAGTGGGGATGTGTTGTAAGAGGAAGAAGGTGCGTGCCTTAATTCTTCCAAACTAGAAATACTACAAACAAACAAAAAATCACTTATGAGAGGTCAGTGGAATTTCAGTGGAATTTTGGGGTTTTCCCTTTCTGCCTTACTGGTTTTCTTATTAAATACCTCTCCTAGAACAATTGTGTGGGTGTATGAGCCATTGTATTGTATAGTCTTCCTTGAGCAATGGTTTTGGATGTTCAAACTTTTTATCAGCAGAGACTTTTGTTGACACAGCTTTCAATAGGGTGACATCTCCTCAGGCTCAAAGATGAAATGTAAATTTCTCAACTCCTGTGGGTGTGCACGTCAAAGTCAATTTTGAGTTTCTGTCTTTGCAATTCCGCACACACATCCATCACATTCATTTAGAGGTGAGAGAATACCTATGTCGCCTTGTATCAAATATAGGAAATCCACTCTTAAGTGCTTTTCACTTTCTCTTTTTCTCTTTTGAATCGTAGAGGGGCTTCCGCTTGGAACCTTGTTAATCATTCATTCAGCTTTACAAATATTTCTCTGGCTCATCTTTATAGCAGTCCTGAGTTGTGGTTGTTACCACACACGAGAGAGACCTAAGGATAAGAGAGGGTGACTTGATAAAGGCCGCACAGATGTCTCCCAGTAGTTAGTTGTTTAAGACATATGTATCCTGGCCTTCCATCATAAAATAATCCAAAGGGTGGCTAGCAACATAAAGAAAATCCATATGCATATCATAAAAGCAACACAATGGAAGATAAGCACAACAAATTAAACAGGGTGACTAACCAGCAGATGAGATTATGGAGCTCTCCCATCCTTGACAATCCATTTTGGTGAATCTCCTGATGTCACAGAACCTCAGGTGATTCAATTTCAGATGAAGAACTGGGAGCACGCTGGAGAGTGCAGTCCTGATTCTTCCTTTCTTCCTATACAGGTGTGGCTTGTGCCATTCCTACAAAGGAAGACTTCCAATCCATTGCGTGGAATCCAGTGTAGTGCTAAGACCATTGTTCCATCAGCACGGGGATTTCTGTTCGTTCAACAGAACATTCTCCCCCACCTTTGTGGGCTCCCTAAATACAGCCTAGGAGTTTTCCCAACCATCTGGAGCAGGTTTGGGGAGGGCATGGGGAGCAGGGAGGAAAACTATTGATGTGCAAGCAAAAATCCTTGCACTGATGGAATGTGTTAGTAGAAGACGGTTAATGCACATTGAAATAATAGTGCAAGCCCATGTTTTGTATGGCCTTGTCAAGCAACTTTAACTACCCAACCACTTCTTAAAGTCCTCCAAATTTAAAAGGTGGTTTGGGGGCTGGAAGGAAGACAGAATAAAAAAACAGCTATGTATGCAGTCCTATAGCTACCACAAGGGAAGTACAGTTACACTTATTCCATTGGAACCATTTTCCAGTGCCTAGAATAGGTCACCAACAGAGCACAATCTACATCCGAGTTAAGATTTACTGAACTTCATTTTTCTGTTGTGTTTTTCATTGTGATTTCAGTTGAATTCCCTTGGTTCCTTGCTTTCTGTTTCTTCAAATATCTGTGAAATATGGGTGGTTCAGTATTGCACAGCTTATTTGTTGTTTTTTAAATGCCTAATCCTGGAAAGGGACTAAAGTCAATTGTATTTGAGCAAGTGATACTGTTTTTAAGGTTTGTTTATACACGTAATACACAAGAGTGCAGCTAAAATCTGTGTTAAACTAAATTCTTTAGATTTTATTAGGTGTGTAGATTGGCCAGTTCACATAGTAATATTTAGCTGACATAACAGAATGCTTAGTTCTTGCTTTAAGAAATTGCACAGCATGTTGCCTGTTGTATTTATTTCAAATTCACTTCACCATCTTGTATACAATAACATTTGTAATGGAATAAAGTCAGTTTATTTGTAGACTGTTAAGGTTTTTGATAACAAAATTCATTTCGCTGTCTTTCTGTCTCCCCGACCCTCCTTCCTGTTTCTTTCTAGTTTTGTATTCCCTGTTTTTACCTCTCTAGGAATGCTTTCCTTTTCATTTCTAAAGGGACTTTATTTGGGAGAAATGTATTTCTGTTCATATTTGTAGCTTAAGAAATGCATAAGAACACCAGAAATCCCTTCGAAGCATGTAAGGAACTGGGTGCCCAAAGTTCTGGAACAGCGTCGGCAAGGCTTGGAAGCTTATTTACAGGTGAGCTGCTTATAGCAATGCCTATTTCCTTGAACTATGGGTTGGATCCAGACTTAGTCATGGTTTGAGCAGACCCACTGAAATCCATCAATGCTCATCCATTGTTTCAAAATATTGACACAGTGAAGAATCATAATAATAACAACGTATAAAGGTAAAGGACCCCTGGAAGATTAAGTCCAGTAAAAGGTGTCTGGGGTTACGGTGTTCATCTTGCTTTCAGGCCGAGGGAGCCAGTGTTTGTCCGCAGACAGCTTTCCGGGTCACGTGGCCAGCATGAGCTAACCACTTCTGGTGTGACGGAACACCGTGACAGAAACCAGAGTGCACGGAAACATCATTTACCTTCCTGCCACAGCGGTACCTGTTTATCTACTTGCACTGGCGTGCTTTCGAACTGCTAGGTTGGCGGGAGCTGGGACAGAGCAATAGGAGCTCATCCCGTCGCAGGGATTCGAACCGCCAACCTTCAGATTGGCAACTCCTAGGCTCTGTGGTTTAACCCACAGCACCACCCACGTCCCTCTCCTTGGAAGAAAAGTGAGGTATAAATACAATAAACAGTAATAATAGGTGTAGTAAGAATATGTGGAATGGAAGAACATACCAGTATATACCATCCTCACCATTTTGCTCAGGAAAACATTTACATATTGGCTCAGCTCTCATGTAATGCTGAGCCAAATCAGGGCTAGGCAAGAACACATGAATGTGCGGTTACCTCTAGTAGAAACCACAGTTAACTTCACCGCTAATCTGGTTGTGGTGTCCAAGCTAAGCTACGGATTTGCTTAGCATTATGCCCCAACCTGGGTGTGTGGTTTGTGTCCCCCAGGTAAATCACGGCAAGCCAAACCTTGGCTACAGCTTGTGGTTTGTCTGGTTCCAGACATACCATGAGCACGAGTTCATATGTAATGCTAAGCTAAACCATGGTTTAGCTCCAGGCAGCAGGACAACCAGGGGAGCAGTGAATCAACCACCATTTTCCCTTTGAGTACCGCCACACTCAAACATTCTCAGTTAGCCATGGTTTTAGTGTTAAATGTGAGTCAGGTTGCTGGTTTCGACTGAATTAATCTCAGCCAATTGTGTCATCTCTTTTACTAGTTAATAAAAATCTGAAGTTATTTTACTTTTCTGCATCAGTAGCCTGTTCATTTTTATAACACTGCAACCAAGATCAGCAAATTATCACTCTTACAGCGAAGACAAACAATAAAAAAAACTTCTCTGCAGCTGTTCAGCAGGCTGATAGATACTGTATATATGAAAAATCATAAAGCAGAAGAATAAAATTTAACTCCAGTGGTCCTCCCTGGATTATTGTTTTGGATTTAGGGATGGGGTTGTTGATCATTATTGCTATTTAAATTGTATCATATTTTTATATGTTGTAACACTGCTCCCCTCAGCCCCCGTAGATCTACTAGTGAAGTGCAGGTAAGAACTATAATAATCTCTCCTTCAGTAACACAGTATTTCTGAAGATTGTCACTTGCATTTGACACAAAAAATAAACCGTTCATTACGTTAAGTCAGAGATAGAACCTCCCTCCAAGGTTCTGTTTTACTCTGAACAAATAAAATACATATCAAATATTCATCAAATTACATATCTCTTAGAACAGGCATGTCCAAAATCCGTTTTGGGGGCCTAATCCGGCCCACCGGTCGATTTAATCTGGGGTTAAACCCTAAAAAAAACTCAAGAACTTTGGTTGGCCCTCACGCATGTTCAGCTCATCAAATCTGGCCCTCTTTGGAAAAAAGTTGGGGCACCCCGTCTTAGAATAAAGTATGCAAATGCATTTATGGTCTCATTTTGTTGGTATCCAACAGTATACCCAGATAATGAGAGAAAATGAGTCTAATACCAATTATTTGACTAACTTTTGTGGTAATGAAGTGAGACTATATAGTAACTTATTTGTTATTTCATTATGAATCTTTAACAATTAGTATAGTTCTCTCTGCTGCTCACACATTCACATCTGTATTGTAGCCCTAGTGTAAAGCATGTTGTGATATTCTGAGCAGTAAAAAAACCCATTGACCTAAAGCAATACTATGCTGATACAAAAATTTATATATTCAGCCCTAAGTATACAGTGTCTTGAACATGAATATTTAGCTCTGCAGCAGCTATAGGATAGCAATGCAAGATAAAGCAGTTGTGTCATATATAAATGACTTGTATATTGGAACTTTTTAAATGTATGAAATTCTTTTATCATGTTGCCAGCCTTCTAGGAATTTGGGTTCTAGGAGATGCAGTAGTTCTACAGTGAAGTGAACATGTTGTTGTTTTGTTTCTCTGAATGCTTGTTGTATAGTCTGTTGATATTCTGAGTACTGGCATAATAGATCATATCTCAGTTCTTTCAGCAGAAGAATCTCATCGCTAATGGTTTCTGTCTTGCTTAAGATAAGGTGTAGCTATCAGAGGCTGTGATAAAACAGTACTAGCTTAGAATAAAAAGTGTCTGCTGTAGGAGTAAACAGTTTGCCTCTGCTAAGCTTCTAGATACTAATTGGCATAATGAGCACACACTTAGGATTTCTGTGGTCTATGCAGAAGGAATGTTATTGGTGAAAATTAACATTGTCTTTGGATTTGAAGAAAATATGACTGCTTCCAATATCTTCTCAGTCATCTTTCTCATACAGAATTAAAACAAAAAAACAAAAATAAAGTGTGCATTTTGGTTTGTATTGCAACAACAACTTTGTATGACTTGATTGACTTACTTAACTTAGGCAAGAAAGAATTAAATGTCAAAAATATAGCTGCACCCGGGGAAATAATTCATTGGTGCAGTTAATGCTGTGGAAGCTGTTTAAAGCTCTGTAATCTAAACAGATTTTTAAGTTTTGAGCAGTAAACAAAGAGATGCAGATTATAAATTTCTCCTACTTCTATGTTTTGGAGTATTATTTATACTTATTTATATTAATGCTCTGCTTGCTACTTGTATGGATCTTAGATCCACAGTCTCTCAAAGAAGCACCTGAAAACTTGTCACAGTTAAGATTAGACATGTTTTAATCATGTTTCACCTACACTGGTGACCAACAATCTTCATTTTCAAGTCTAATAATATTAGAAGAAAAAATAATTGGTGTTAATACCGTTCATTGTAGAGTTACATAGGCAAATCCCTGTTCTCAAGTAGCTTCTAACAATCTAAAATAAACAGTGGGAATTCCAGTTCAATAAATTTTATTGTTTGTAGCTGATGGCCCTCACAATACAGAATGAGCACAAATCACACAGCTACAAAACAAAAGACATTGCATTGTTGGAGTTTGTTATAGGAAGAGAAGAATACAGTGGTGCCTCGCAAGATGAAAATAATCCGTTCTGCGAGTCTCTTCGTCTAGCGGTTTTTTCGTCTTGCGAAGCAACCCTATTAGTGGCTTAGCGGATTAGCGCTATTAGTGGTTTAGTGGCTATTAAAGGCTTAGCGGCTAAAAGGCTATTAGCGGTTTAGCAGCTTAGAAAAAGGGGGGAAGCGGGGGGAAATCGCAAGACTCGCAAGACGTTTTCGTCTTGCGAAGCAAGCCCATAGGGAAAATCGTCTTGCGAAGCAACTCAAAAACGGAAAACCCTTTCGTCTAGCGGGTTTTTCGTCTTGCGAGGCATTCGTCTTGCGGGGCACCACTGTACGAGTAAATGTCCTTATATGTACTTGAAGAATGATTACCATAATTATTAAGAAATGTCAGATATCTGTTATTTTACATATAAAGATAACCTGGTTATGGAGATTGCCAATGAAATCGGAAGCATTGAAAAAGCTGCTAGTGAAACAACTTATCTTAGCTTGCAGTCCCCATTCCCATTCAGTCCAAGAATAACAGGGAGCAAATAGGCATCCCTGAGCCAAACACCCAAGGCTGTGTCTCATTCTGCCTTCCAGTATCCTTGAGAAGATGTGCAGCAGCTTTTTGCATTAGCTGAAGCGTCCAAGTTAGTGTCAAGGGCAGCCCCACAGATTGCGTTTATAGTAGACAAGCGTAAAGGTTGCAAAATAGTATATCAGTGTATATGTAGATCTCCGCTCTCAGAAAATGGCACAGAAAAATGCAACAAAAATAATTGATAAAAAAGAACTCCTAGTAACTACAGCCACTTGTTTATCAAAAAGTAAGGACAGGTAATACAGTTTTTCCAGTCTCCATACCTGTACTGATGGGGGGAAATGTTACCCCACTGGTCACTGTCAAAGCTTAGGAGATCCGACATGTATTTCATCTTATTTGTCTAGATATTGTTCATCCACTTTAGTAGAAGGAGATGTTTTTAAGTTCTAGCAAGTGTAAGAGAAGTAGTTGTAATCAACTGTTGGGGCAGCCCTTTCCTTCATTTGCCATCAATCAACTCCTCATGATTTTTGTTGTTTTTAACATGTATAATCAGGTAATAATAATAATAATAATAATAATTTATTATTTATACCCCACCCATCTGGCTGGGCTTCCCCAGCCACTCTGGGCGGCTTCCAAAAAAATATTAAAATACTGTAATACATCAAACATTAAAACTTCCCTAAGGTCAGCTGTTTGAATCCCCTCAACGGGGTGAGCTCCCATTGCTCAGTCCCAGCTCCTGCCAACCTAGCAGTTCGAAAGCATACCAGTGCGAGTAGAAAAATAGGTACCGCTCCGGTGGGAAGGTAAATGGTGTTTCCATGCACTGTTCTGGCTTCGGTGTTCTGTTGCACCAGAAATGGCTTAGTCATGCTGGCCACATGACTCAGAAAAACTGTCTGTGGAGCGGACAAACGTCAGCTCCCTCAGCCTGTAAAGTGAGATGAGCGCTGCAACCCCAGAGTCGTTCACGACTGGACTTAACTGCCAGGCGTCCTTTACCTTTACCTTTTTAAACAAATAGCAATAGCACTCGCTAAACATGGTATGTCACTGCACCCAGGATCTAGGAATATCTGTTCAAAATCATAATTTTGTATTTATTAATTCATTTTTTGTTAAGACTT